ATTCCTGCTGCTCTACTCACGTGTTTCCACTTGCCTCTTGCTTCTATCTGGTTGCCAATGCCACTCCTGCCAATCTATCCTGCTGCCTTCTTTTCCGTTCTCTTTATTTTCTTGCTTCTTTCTTTGATTTGCCTGCTACTGCGAACAACAGGCCGTGATCGGTAGCAGCTGAGAGTATAGGTGCAAATTGTTCCCTTGCAGCACCTGACTGGCCGGTGTGTCTGCTCCTTCCCTGCTTGACTCTCGCCTGACTCCCTGCTTCCCTTCTTGCTCCTTTCAGGTCGAGAGGGCATCTGGTCTAAAGGAGCAGCTGAGAGCATCAGTCCACACTGACCTTGCCAAGCGCATGGCAGGGTGCCGTGACTTTGCGTCAGTCCTTGATAAAATCGGGATAAAAGTGGATGGCATGCCGCAACCATCCACTCAGCAGGTGAGAGACACACTTTGTTTTTTTCGGGATGCCCTTTTCTCAATCGTTTTAGTGATATTTCACCCAATACCTCGCTCGATAATCGTGTGGAAACAGTGTGATCGTTGCTATAAAAACTGGCACCTGACTCATTCAACTGACTCGTTGCTTGCTTGTCCTGTTGCCCACTCCTCGTGCCTGCCAGGTTGAAGCATCTTTCAAGAAGGCGCTGCTTCGGTATCACCCGGACCGGATGGCGAGGCTCGGAGCAGGGGCGGACGTTCGGAAGCAGGTAGAGGCAGAGGAGACCTTCAAGATGATGCTGGAGAAGAAGAAAACGCTTCCCCTTGTTGCACCACCGCCTGCCCCACCTGCTGCTGCCCCAGCTTACCCAGATTTTGGTCTGCCCAAGTATCACAAGTTTGGCAGGAGACGTTATTATTACTAACCAACATACATATGTGAACTAGTTTGTAACAACACATGCTGCTAGATACTCACGATGTAAAACGTTCCGACATTCCATTGTATTCAATGTTCTGCTCACTAAAGTGTATGATTGATTAAACCCCGTCAAAAATTTCATAATGTTCCATACACAAGTAAATAGCACAGATATCCTCCTCCATGGTTGCTAATTAGAAAATGCGTGACGTGCCCTATGTTGTTGTGCAACTGGTATGGGAAGAGAATATAAGGGAACACTATGACTTGTGAGTACACCCAGCATCTCCATACAGTACATCTACTGGTCCGATGAACATCCCCCGTACCTCATGGCACCGAATCACTGCTTCGCAAGGGGGTCGTCGTACACGCGTAACCGCACGGGATCCTCATACACGCACAGTCGCACAGGCGTCGTCGCACACGCGTCAAACGCAATCGGCTCACAAAGATAAGACCCTGGGTTAGCTTTCTGAAACCCTCACAACGTGTTGGAACGAATCTACACCCTTCGTTACCGCAGTAACGGAACTTTCACATAAGCTCACGACAAGTGACTCTGGCAAGTAGGAACTTTCACACCGCGCTAACATCGCACGTCACTATTCTCATGGAATGAAATGTAGATCAAAGGATGGTATGCGATTATTCCTAACATCATCGCTCCATACGCGGACGCGTTGTCTAGCCAGCCGTTCCGCGCCGAATCGGCGGGGCACGGCGGCCATATGGCGGCAATGGCGCAGCGGTTCCCCGCATGTCACCGCTGCTGGCGGCGACTGAGCTTCCTCGCGTGTCCATGGCGGCGAGTCGTCGTCGCGGTGTGCCCCTTTGGGCGTTACATGGAACGGGCGAGCTGTGAAGGGTCTATCTGGCCAGGAGCGATCCGGCCAGCATTACGCGTCTCGTGTGCTCATAAATACGGCTTGGTCAGAACCTACATACATCACAACGGTTTGGCAGCAACCTAATACGACGACGACCTAGCTTTCATCACGACGAAATACTTCAACAACGATAATACCAGCTGTTACAGAGCGCCTCAGAAATTCCAACCAGCCCATACCATCCAGCTCAGAATCATCCTTAATAATCTCACACTCAACGATCAGCGTGTACACCTTAACTTTCAAGGGCGATACCATCCGCAAGGCCCAGTTACGTGTCTGAAGCTCGTAGCAACCCTCCGGAAGACCTGAAAAAGCGTTCTACATTCGAAGCGATTACCGGAGATGACGTCGCGACTCGGAGGCGGCTTGCTCCTCGTAGCAGTCATGTGCGTGGCGGCGGCGTGCGCTCCGACGAGCTGCGCGCAGCCTCCTCCGCCGACGAAGGCGAAGCTGCGCGCGGAGCTGCAGAGCATGGCGAAGAGCATCGTGAAGCGTTACCCGCAGTACTCGCGATACGCGCAGGACGCCACCAAATACATCAACTTCGCACGTAAGCCCTTGCACCAGCGACTACGTGGCCAAGTACCTTGAATCCCTCTTTGTTTCGCTAACCAAGTTGCCCGTTTCGTGCTCATTCCCGTCTTGTCTGGGCCAAGTTCCCTCCCCTTCCCCCAACGCCCCACTTTCCCCTCTTTGTTTCCGAAATTACTCTCTGTGCCTTCCTTCTCCCCTCTTTCCCGCTCTCCATCCCCCTCCATTCCCCCCACCCGCCCTCCCTTGCCTCCTTCCCGTGCACACCCCCCCCCCCGCCCTGCCCCTGCAGTGAACTCCAAGTACGACCTGTCGGCGCTGCGAGACGCGTCCATCCTCATCCCCAACAACGTGCAGGCAGAAGCCCTCGCTAAGAGAATCCCCGCTAAGAGCAGCAGCATCCCCACACTGTACAACATCACAGCGTTCCACATCCTGCGCCGCCGAATGACCCTCCCGCAGATGAGGCAGGTGAAGCTGCGGACAGCGATAGGCACTCAGCTGAGGCAGCCGCTCTTCAAGATGACGCCGATGGGAAACAACAGCGCTGTGTCGTTTGCTAGGGGGCCGTACTTGAAGGCAGACCAGTGGACCACCATTCGCATCCCGGGGCTGTATGTGGGGCGATGGTTCATTGCCCATGGGGTGGATCGGGTGATCATTCCCACTTACACCAAAGTATGATGAGGCAGTTGATGGGGATATGGTTTCTGCTGGAATGTCCAGTTGCTTTGGCTTTCTTAGCCTTGTTATGGTGTATTGAGACTCCAAAATTGTGAGAAAAAATAGGGAACTCGTTAATGATGGCTGGCATGGTATGGTACCTTCATACCCTGGGTAAAGGTGCAGTTGCGCTTGCAATAAAACGGGAATTAAGGGTGCGCCGAGTTACATAGCATATGGGACGAAAGGACGTGTGTGAGATTACGGTAATTTCACCTGTTTAAAATAAGAAACCCAAGGCTTTAGCTCCTCGCCATTTGCCGTCCACGCAGCAGAAGGGGGAGGAGTTAGGTGGGGGAACGGGAGGGAGCGAGGGAGAGAGGAGAGGGGGGGGGGGGGGGGGGGGGGGGGGGGAGGTGAGGTTGGTGGGGGCGGGATGGGAGGCCGATGAGGGGGGTGGGTGAGGATGGGGTGGGCGGCACAAGGGGGAGGGGAAACGGGGGGCAGGGGGGGAGAAAGAGAGAAGGGGGAAGGAGGAAAGAGGGGGGAGAATGAAGAGGGTTAGTCGAGGAGGAGGAGGAGGAGGAGGAGGAGGAGGAGGAGGAGGAGGAGGAGGAGGAGGAGGAGGAGGAGGAGGAGGAGGAGGAGGAGGAGGAGGAGGAGGAGAGGAGGAGGAGGAGGAGGAGGAGGAGGGGAAGGAGGAGAGGAAGGAGTGGTGGTGGAGCTGGTTGCGATCGTGTTGAGAAGCGGAGGGCGTGTTTATGTGTGGACGTCCGTCAAAATTGGCATAGCTGGACCATTTAGAAGATTGAGAGCAGACAGTAGGGCTCCGTCGCATAGCAAACGATTGACTATAATGGTTTTATTGGACACGGTATCATGTCAAGTTAGCTCTCGACCTTGGGAACCTGTGTGTAGGATCTAACCGCAAGAGCCAGCACCACCATCAGCACGGGTATCAAGAACTGCAGCAACAGCTTCAACGTTGACGTACCTCCTGGCTCCCTCCACCACTGCTTCCGTTTCTACTCGGCTTCTCTGGTAGCGTCGACTCGTCAATCTCACCGACGTAGTACTGAGCGAGCATGTCTCTGGCAGTCTTACTGTGGCCAATGTCCTCGAAATCATCGGTAGCGTCTTTGCCTGAAGACGAGCACATCGACAAGTATAAGAGAAAAGCATAGGATGACATCTGTACTTAGTGATTTTTTTTTTAAGATCCGTCTGCAAACACGATCTACATGGTTGGGCTTACCGGTAGATGAGACCATGACATCGGATCCACCAGGATGATCATCCATAAACTTAGTCACGTCATAGACCTGTACAGTGACAAACTCCACTTGATTATCTATAGACGCGGCTGCGGTAACATATAATCCAGATCTGATTCAAAATGGATAATGGAACCGATTTGAGCGTCGTTACTTCACCTTGCCAGACACGATCAGCCAGCAATCCTTCTCGGTGTTGTGTTTCGACACCTCCTCTAACGTGAAAACCTTGGGCTTAGTCTCAGCCATGACTGAATGTGCGAAACCGAGCACCTTCCCCTTACTGCTCTTTAGCAAAGGCGGAACCGCAGCAGCAACACAATACCTTCTAAGGCTACCACAAGCTTTTCAACGGCGTGGTAGAGGGGGTTATACGAAGCTCTAGAGATACGCAAATCCTCGTAAGTTGATGCAAAATAACCTCCTCACAGCCCGATTCAAAGAAATGGTTGGACGGAGCCTCTGCCTAGATGTTGGGCCGCAGTGCAGCAGGCGAGTCCCTTCGCATCGATATTGACGGAGGGTGCTCCTTGCTTGGCCACAACGAAGTTTTCACCACCTCTTTTGCTGATTGGCCAGTTGCGATGGCATGTAGGACCCAGAGTGGCTGTTGTTTTGGGCTTGAGAGAGAAGTCCAGACCAGAGCGGTCGCATTCAGTCGTTATACGATTTTGCGAACACCTAGAGTTGAGGAGAGCGAGCCTCCACCACCAGTTTCCAAGAAGATCTGACACCTGGGTTTCCCGACGTGGCCTGTACTCAATACTGTTACAGACATAGGCGACTTGTTATGAGTTGTGAAAGGAAGAGTGCGCAGAACTCAATAATGCGGAAGTGATTCCAACATCTGAGAACACAACGAGGCCTAGGACTAATATAGCGAAGCTAGCTAGTAGGCCGAGGCGGGGGTCGCGAGATGGTTGGGTGCAGGTTCGGGGTTGGGAAACCCGAAAGCGACGCGGTAGTGGCTCGGAAGGCGAGGTCGGCGGACCGAGCCTGGTTTTCCGAAAGTCGGGGTTGTACGCGTACAGTGTGACCCAGTAAGGAATCCGAAAAATTCCTTACACGAGTGCATATTGCATTGGCTGGAATCGGATTAAAGGAGAGTAATAATAATTCTAAGGTCACTCTGACAATATTTCAAAGGTATTTTGCTCGATAATATATGAGGTTATAATGGTACAAAAGGTGTTTAATATGTCGTTCTGCTAAGGGTTTAGGCCATCAGTCCAGACCTTATGAAATGTTGTGCAATGTCTTTATGAAAATTCTGTTATGCAGTTCTGTAAGGAATTTTCTCGGCATTCCTTACGAAGCCCGAATACATCGCGTACAGCAATAGCCGTTGTTTGCTCGTTACTGCTAACGGGACTTCGCCAACTTCGCACGCACTGTTTTGCCAAACCTCGCACTGCTGGCCCGGCCGTGTCGGCCTACGCTTCGGGACTAGCCCGAGCCTCGCTGCCAGCGTAGCACTAGCTAGCTCGCACGCACCGCGTTACCGTTTGCATGTTCGCATATAAATGTTTGCTCATGCCTTCGCTCACATCTTGTCATATATGACATAGTGTTTGTAGGCTCTAGTGGGGTAAACACTAAGGGGTACAGGTTTCTAGGGTTTCACATTTGTATCGCACATTTTCCTAGTTCAATCATTCCTCGTTATTTCACATGGTATAGAGCAGGTTCCCTAGTGGGAACGTTTCCTAGGGCCCACCACTAAAACGATTTTTGTTTTTCCTTACCTGCCCGGAGCGCGCTTCGCGCCTGCCCTAGTCGCGCCCCGTGCGCCTGCCCTCCCGTCGCGTCCCCTGCCCTTAGCGGCCCGTCGCGCCCTCTAAAGGCCCCTTCACGGCCCCTCTCACGGCCCTTCGCGGCCCCTTCGCGACTCCTTCGCGGCCCCTTCGCGGCCCTTCTAGGCCCCTCTCACGGCCCTTTGCGGCCCATTCGCGGCCCCTCGCGGCCCCTCCCGGCCCCTTCGCGGCGCTCGCGGCCCCTTCTCGACCCCTTCACCGCCCTTCGCGGCCCCCTTTGCGGCCCTCCGCGGCCCTTCGCGGCCCTTCGCGGCTCCTTCACGGCCCCTCCGCGGCTCCTTCGCGGCTCGTCGCGGCCCCTTAGCGGCCCCTCCCGGCTCTTCACGGCCCTACCGCCCCGTCGTCGCCGCCCCAGCAGCAGCTGCCGTCGCGCCTGCTGCCGCTGCTGCTTCCTCTACGCCCGGTCGCCGCCGCCGCTGCTGCCGTGACAGCCGCCGCCGCTCCTGCTGGGACAACTGCCGCTCCCACTGCCATGACAGCCGCCGCCGCCGCCGTCCCGGCCCTACCCTGTAGCCGAGGCGCGGCCCTCCTCTGCCGCCCTGTCGCGGCCCTGTTCCTGCCGGCGCACCTCGGCCTTGCCCCACCGCTTGCGGACCTCTACCCACCCGCCCCTGGTAAGAGCACCGCCGAGCCGCGCCGCTCCTGGTGGTGCTGCTGCCAGCCTGCCGCTCCTGCTGCTAGCCTGCTGCTGCTGCTGCTGCTAGCCTGCCGCTGCTGCTGCTAGCCTGCTGCTGCTGTGTTATGGCTACCCCAAATGTTTCACCTTTGATGCTGAGGGTCGGGCTGTCGACTTTGAGGTCTGGGTCGATGATCTGCAGCTTTTCCTGCAGTGCGATAGAAAAGATGGTCTCTCACTATTCAATCTCACGTCTGGCACCTCTGCTGCCCCTACTGCCGATACTGACAGTACTGTTCGCTCACAGTGGGCCACACGCAATGCCGCTGCCTGTCTTGCTGTGCGTAGTCACCTGCCGTCCACTGAGCGCGCGCACTTTAGTCAGTACAAGAGTGCTAAGACCTTGTACAACGCTGTAGTTGCACGCTACTCTTCCCCTGCCACTGCTGCCCTTAGTCGCCTCATGCTGCCGTACCTGTTCCCTGACCTCGCCGCCTTTCCCACAGTCGCTGACCTCATTACGCACCTTCGCACTAGTGACACCCGCTACCGCGCTGCACTTCCTGCTGAGTTCTGCGCCAAGAACCCCCCCCCCATGTACATCACCCTCTACTACATAGTCACCCGGCTCCCTGACTCCCTTCGCTCGGTCAGAGACCACTTCCTCTCTGTTTGCCCCACCACACTCACCGTTGACCTCCTCGAGGAGCGCCTCCTGGCAGCAGAGAAGAGTATAGTCGCTATAGGAGCCTCTCGTGGTGACCCTCGTGCCCCCTTCTTTGAGGGGTGCTCCCCCTCCCCCCTTTTGCCCTCTGTTGCCTCTGTTGCTGCGGTCGACCTCGTTGGCACCGAGTCGGTCGGCGCTGCGTCTGCCCCTAGCGGGAGACGCCGCAACGGCAAGGGCAAGGGGGGTAAGGGCGCTGAAGGAGCTGGCGGGGGCGGTGGAGGTGGCGGTGGTGGTGGCGGTGGAGGCGGCGGAGGGGGTGGGGGTTGTCAAATTATAATACTGTGTAAGGCTATAGTGGGGTAGCCTATATGGGGTACACATTTCTAGGGTTGCATATTTGTATCACTTCCATTCCTAGCATTCCATTCTCGTTCTACCTTTCTCATGGTATCGAGCAGGTTCCCCCTTAGGAAACTGTGCCTAGGGCCCACCACATCGCGTTTCATTTTTTTTTTTTCTCCTGCCCGAAGCGCGCTCCGCCCGAGTCGCGCTCCAGGCTCTCACCTCGTCGAGCCGCCCTAGCGGCCCCCTACGCCCCTAGTCTGGCCTCTTCCCCTAGCGGCCCCGCCGCCCCTTCGTTTCGGCCCCGCCGCCCCTTTAGTGCGGCCCCCTGCCGCCCGTCACAGCGGCCCCGTCGCCCCGCATCGCGGCCCCGCCGCCCGTCTCCGCGGCCTCGCCGCCCGTCGCTGCGGCCCCGCCCCTACTCAGCGGCCCCGCCGCCCTTCTCCTCAACGGCCCCGCCGCCCTGCTCAGCGGCCCCGCCGCCCTACTCAGCGGCCCCGCCGCCCTTCTCCTCAGCGGCCCCGCCGCCCTACTCAGCGGCCCCGCCGCCCTTCTCCTCAGCAGCCCCGCCGCCCTACTCAGCGGCCCCGCCGCCCTTCTCCTCAGCGGCCCCGCCGCCCTACTCAGCGGCCCCGCCGCCCTTCTCCTCAGCAGCCCCGCCGCCCTACTCAGCGGCCCCGCCGCCCTTCTCCTCAGCGGCCCCGCCGCCCTTCTCCTCAGCGGCCCCGCCGCCCTTCTCCTCAGCGGCCCCGCCCCCTACTCAGCGGCCCCGCCGCCCTTCTCCTCAGCGGCCCCCCCGCCCTGCTCAGCGGCTCCGCCGCCCTACTCAGCAGCCCCACCGCCCTTCCGCAGCGGCCTCGCCGCCCCTTCTCAGCGGCCCAGCCGCCCCTCGCACCAGCGGCCCTGCCGCCCCTACACCGCCCGCGCCGCCCGAGCCGCCCGAACCGCCCGAGCCTCCCGAGCCGCCCAACCTGCCCGAGCTGCCCGAGCCGCCCGAGCGCCCCGACTCTCCTGAGCCGCCCGAGCCGCTGATCGCCGACCAAGCCCGAGCCGCCCGTAGCCACCCGAGCGCCTGAGCTGCCCGAGCCGCCTGAGGAGCCGAGCCGCTGGTGCCACGGAGCCGCAGTTGCTGCAGTGCCGTCCCGAGCAGCCGTGTTGCCGTGCCTGCTGTACCGCTAAGCTGCCCGACCCGCCCTGCCCTGTGAGAGAAGCGCTTCTGTCACTGCACTGCCCTTGTCCTACAGTGGTACTGCTAGTCCACTGTTGTCGTGGCTACCCCCAGTGTTCTCGCTTTTGACGCTGAGGGTCGAGCCATTTGACTTTGAGGTTTGGGTGGATGACCTGCAGCTTTTCCTACAGTGCGATAGGGCAGACAGTCTTTCCCTCTTTGACCTCACCTCTGGTGCTTCCCCTGCCTCTGCTGCCGATGCCGCATGCCACTGTTCGCTCCCAGTGGGCCATTCGCGATGGTGCTGCACGTCCTGCTGTGCGTCGCCACCTGCCTACCACTGAGGGCGCGCACTTTAGCCAGTACAAGAGTGCTCGGACCCTTGTACGACGCTGTCGTTGCACGCTACTCCTCCCCTACCACTGCTGCACTGAGCCGCCTCATGTACCGTACCTCTTTCCTGACCTTGCTGCCTTTCCCACAGACGCTGACCTCTATTACGCACCTCCGCAATAGTGACACTCGCTACCGCGCCGCGCTTCCTGCTGAGCTCTGCGCCAAGAACCCCCCCCCCATGTACATCACTCTCTATTATTTTAGTCACCCGCCTCCCTGACTCCCTGCGTGTAGTCAGGGAACCACTTCCTCTCAGTCTGTCCCACCACTCTCACTGTTGACCTCCTAGAGAAGGCCCTCCTAGCGGCGGAGAAGAGCATAGTCGCTGTAGGAGCCTCTCGTGGTGACCCTCACACCCCCATCTTTGAGGGGTGTTCCCCTCCCCCCTGTTGCCCTCTGTCGCCTCTGCTGCTGCGGCCGACCTCGTTGGTCTTGAGTCGGTCGGTGCGGCGTCTGCCCCTAGCGGGAGACGCCGCTCTGGCAAGGGCAAGGGGGAAAAGGGCGCGGGTGGGGCTAGCGGGAGTGGTGGAGGTGGCGATGGGGGCGGCGGGGGGAGTGGGAGTGGCGGTGGGAGTGGTGGCGAGGGGTGGAGGTGGCGGTGGCAGCGGCGGAGGCGGAGGCGGCGGTGGCGATAGCGGTGGGAGCTAAGGCGGCGGCGGTGGCGGCGGAGGTGGAGGCGGCGGTGGTGGAGGAGGTGGAGCTGGTCGGGGTGGTTCTTCTCAGCGGAGCGGCTCCGGGAGTGGTCAGCGCCAACAGCAGCAGCAGCAGCGTTCTCGGGACATCCCCCCTCCTCAGCAGCTCCGTGAGTGGTACACGCAGCGTCAGCGTGGTGGGGGTTTTGGCCGTGCACCTACGTCCTTCGCTCCGGCGACCGCGCGGATGTGAGCAGTGTGGGGTGCTCACCCCACCCCTAGCGCTGCTTTGGCCCGCCTGACGGACGCTTGGCCGTCAGCAGTTTCCGGAGGCTAGTGAGATCCCCCGCTGCCGGGAGAGCTGTCTTAGGGCAGGCGTAGCTATCTTTGACTTGACTTTGATGCTATCCTTCCTGCCATATATGCTGTGACTATTAGTGATGAGGGTGACTGTTTCCGGTGTTTCCCCGCCGACCCGGGCATTGGTACTGCTTGCTCTAGGTTACTGGTGAGGCTGCTGCTCTAGGTGCCAGTGCGTCCGCGCCCTCAGGTGCTGGTGAGTCTGTGCTCTCAGTACCACGTCGGCTTCGGCCTCCTCACCTTCACACTTGACTCTAGGGGATTCTCGCTCCTTCTTTCGAGACCGCACCACACTCACGCCGCTTGGTCGGCCGGTTGCAGTCTCCCTGGCAGACCCCTCTGGGGGTTCTGTCCTCTCTCACTTCTCCACTGTCCTCCCGTGTCCGACTGCCCCCTCTGGCACCCTCTCTGGTCTTTACCTCCCCTCGTTCTCTACGAACTTGGTGAGTGGTGCTGACCTGCAGGATACGGGGGTTCACCAGTTCACTCCTACGAGTCAGGGGTGACCCACTGCACGGACGCTCGGACAGGCCGACACCTGGCCACGTTTACACGTCGGCCGGGGTCGAGCCTGTACACACTGACCACTGCGTCTCCTCCAGTCACTGCGTCTGGTCAGGTAGCTGCGTCGGGTTAGGTGTTTGCTGCAGCGTCCAGGTCTGGTCTTGAGTCTGCCCCCTGCTCGTGTCGCCTCCTGTCTCACGAGACTCTCCTCTGGCACCACCGTCTTGGTCACCCCTCCCTGCCTCGTCTCCGAGGCATGGCTTCCCGTGTCCTTGTCTCTGGTCTTCCCCGGTCCCTCCCTCCCCTTCCTCCGGGGCCTGGTCCTTCCTGTGTCCCCTGTGTCGAGGGGCGGCTTTGAGCTGCCCCTCACTCCTCTCAGTTTCCCCCGATAGAGGGCCCCACTGCAGACGCTTCACATGGACGTGTGGGGCCCGGCCCGCGTACGTGGACAGGGTCACGAGCGCTACTTCCTGCTGGTGGTTGACGGACTACTCGCGTTACAACCACAGTCTTCCCCTTGCGCAGCAAGGGTGATGTCACTGAGGTGTTGATCGACTGGATCCGCGCAGCTCGTCTCCAGCTCAGGAGGAGCTTCGGCTCGGACTTTCCTGTTCTGCGTCTGCACTCTGACCGAGGCGGAGACTTCTCCTCTGGCCTTCTACGAGCCTACCTGTCAGTGCGCGAGGCATCCGCCAGACCTTTACGCTTCCGGACTCTCCACAGCAAAATGGGATTGCTGAGCGCCGCATTGGCATGGTCATGGACGTCGCTCGTACGTCCATGATGCATGCAGCTGCCTCCCATTTTTCTGTGGCCGTTTGCGGTTCGGTACGCGGCGCATCAGATCAACCTTCACCCCAGGGTCTCCAGGCTGGAGACCTCCCCAGCCTTGCTGTGGACGGGGAAGGTCGGCGAATGCGTCTGCGTTCCGTGTCGGGGGATCTCGGGCGTTTGTCCGCGACTTGTCTACGGACAAGCTGTCCCCTCGTGCTGCTCCCTGTGTCTTCCTTGGCTTCCCCCCTGACGCCCCTGTGGTGGCAGTTCTACCACCCCACCTCTCGTCGTGTTCTGTCCTCCCAGGACGTCACGTTCGATGAGTCAGTACCCTACTACCGCCTCTTCCCCTACCGCACTCCTTCCCTCCCCCCGCCACCGCACTTCCTTTTGCCAGGTCCCCCCCCGGTAGACCCCCTCCCCCCTCAGGGTCCTGCCCCTTCAGGTGTCTCCCAGGTAGATGTAGTCGTAGCCGGTCGAGGTTGCTGGTGACTCTTGGGGTGCTGCGACTGGGGTGCTGAGCCTGGGGGTGCTAAGCCTGGGGGTGCTACGACTGGGGGTTCTGAGCCTGGGGGTCCTTCGCCTGGGGGTGCTGAGTCTAGAGCTACTGAGCCTGGGGGTGTCGGAGCCCGCGTCCGCTGGACTGCTCGTGTGGCGTCTGGCGGTGCTGGGCCTGGTGGTTCTCCGGGTGCTTCGTCTCGGCGGGAGCCACTCTCTCCACTGGAGCTGCACGAGTGGTTTGCCCGGCGCTGGAGGCGTACTACTGGAGCTGGTGCTTCTTCGACTTCTGAGGGTGCTGGTGCCGCCGGGTCTTCGGAGGTGCTAGTCCTGCGAGTGCTACTGGAGTCGGAGCTGCTGAGGGTGTTGGCACTTGAGTGCTACTGCTGTCAGTCTTGGCGGCGGTCCTGCTGCGGGTGCTGCTGGTGCTGCTGGAGGGGCTGGAGCTGGAGGTGCTGTTGACGCTGGTGGTGCCCCTGGGGGTGCAGGTGCTGTCCCTGCTGTGTCTGGAGTCGCCGCGCGCCTCGGCCGTACTTTGTTCCGCTCCTTCAGCAGCTTCTTGGTCTTCCTCCTCCCTTAGAGTGTCCACCACCAGTCCATTCGCAGTCCCAGTTACCGCCGGCCTCCCCACTGCCTTCTCCTTCTCCGTACACTGTTCCTACTGGAGGTCTTGCTGAGCGTCATGAGCC